TTGGATATAGCCACCCAGCCATGGCTTGCAGCAACATGAAGTGGGGTCATCTGTGTCTTATCCTTGGCCTATAAAATCAATAAAATAACATTAATGGAAAAATGTGCATACTACCTGTAGCTATGATTCTGGATGAAGGTATACATGATTGAATGACCAAAAGATTGATTGACAGCATACACCTAATTGAAGAAACGTTGTCGGGTCCAAAAAGGTCTAATCATAGAAGCTACATGTAAGACCGAAAAGGTACTTGGGAAGACAAACAATTTGGCTAATTTCATACAAGCAGCTTTCCAGCATAAAAGACTATCATGCTGTTAATCATACTAGCTCTAGTTGCTTTACCGTGCACCACATTAAACACCGTATATGCAAATGTAAATCCCAATTTAGTGGTACTCAAAATCCCTTTCGGTCTTAGCTTCTATGATGTGACCTTTTCGAACACGACTACGTTTTTTCAATTAGGTGTAAATGAAACAATGAATGACTGATTGAGCAAATAATCAAATGCCAAAATGTCTGAAAGACTGAATGAGTGAATGCCTGAATGCCTGATTGACTGACTGACTGAATGAGGCAGTGAGCAATTGAGCGAATGCTAGAATAACTGAAAGACTGATTGATCAAATGACTGAAATGCTTGAATGCCTGAATAACTTATTGACTGAATGACTGAATGTAAAATGAATGACTGTTGACCGGCTGACTAGCTGAAGTAATGAATGACTGAATGAATGATTAAAACAATAAATATCTTAAGTTGTGAACAAATACACCATCAGATGAGTAAAAAACAAATACTAGTTGAAATGAATTAAAGAGAGAAACCAAAAGTTACCTCAATGTCAACTGACGTCTCCCTGAGAAGCTCCATAACTGCCGCCACGTTTCCCTTAGCAACCGCATAATGTAGTGGCGTAGATCCATAGCTGTCCCTAGCGTTCACATTCACTTTCTTTGATAGCAAATAACAAATCATGGATTCCTTTGGACTGTTTTGTCCCAGTTGATTTGAGCTAATTAATTGAGGTGAATCCTTGTTGTTTGTATTTTTCTTGTCACCAAGTTGAAAGTCCTTAAAAAATCTATTACTTATTGAATCACGTTTTTTGGTCAAATTACCAAAGAGTCTATCCTTGCTTGTAGCTTTACTCAGGCTTCCGCTGCCAGTACATTCTTTTTTTTCCTCCTTCTTGAGCTGTAAGGCAAGATCTGCAATGTTACTTGTACTGGCCGATGCTTTAGGTAYTGGAATGGTCTTGTTGAACTTGCGTCCAATGCGTGGAGTTGTGCTCTTGAAGCTTTGCTTGCTTGGAAGACAGAATCGCGCGGCATAATGCAGAGGAGTGGCTTCATCTTCTCCTTTACCTTCCAGGTCTAAACGGTTTAAAATAAAATAGACTAACATGCTGAACAATCTACAATGATTTATTTAACACATAAAAAAAACATTAAATTGCAAATTGAGTTTTTCAGAAGTTGAATAAGCATGTTGCATGAAGCAAATTGCACAATGATAGAAAATCTGCTCTAAAGATACCAAGATAAATATTACTTCTGCCATGCATCTTACCTGCCCCATAGTCCACCAAGAGTTGCACAATATGTAGATGGTTATAACGCACAGCYTAATGCAGTGCTCTTGTTCCATTCACATCTTGTTTCTGGATCTTCTTGTGCCCTTTGCCAAGCTGTTGAAGACGTAGCCTTACCAACTCAATTTTGCCATCTCTTGCGGCCTAGTGTTGGATTAAAGTTAAACAAAATTGATATATAATAACATAATATATTCAGTGGAAGCAAAGAGAAAGTGACACCATGAATATAAATTGAATTAAAATTTTTAATGTCTTTGTGTGAGGTGAATTCAGAATATATGAACAGGATACATGGAAGCTTTATAAGACTCTTTTAACTCTGCAGTAGGTCTWTACGTATGGACATTAAGAATCAGGGCAGCTGAGAGCCCAATAGCGATTTGCATTTTTTTTAGGAGATTCTAGTCTTTGAGAGAGAAGTAAATTTCTATTATATCAAGTCCTTGTAAAGTAAAAGCAAAAACGTTTACAAATGATAAACATTGGCGTGTCAAAAGCCTKCAAAATTCAACGTCAATATTTCTCATAGAAATCATTGTTTTCAAAAGAAGAAGAAAAATAAATAAATTATAGTTAAAAAGTATGAATTCAAAACATCTTTTGTGTTAAGTTAATTCTGCAGATGTTTAGGGCTTTGGTTATTTTAGCATTACACTGATTTTGTTTTGGCTGCTAGTTGTAGGAAAGCAATCGAAAACTGGCTGGCCACCATACAGCCAAAGAATAATTTTTATTTTTAATTTTTTGGATCGACATTAAGGTTATTGTCACTCGAGTCATGAGAAATGTCAGTGATAAAGTCCAAAATCCCTCCTTGTTTGCTTAAAACATCTGCTAAGCGATCGAAGTCCTTGAGAAAAATTATCCTTTTACATTTCAACAATGTTTAAATAAATTTTTCTCTTGAATTCATTAAGCGCAAGACAATATTTTAACGTGTAAATTRCCGTAAAATTTAAACTAAAATATAAGAATTGACTAAAATTTAAAGCTTCTTAAAGAGTTGCGATTTGAGTATTTTTTAACTTATCAAATCCGTTACACTTAGTTTAACAGGTTATTTATTTATAAGGTTAACTCATACTTATCAGCTGAAAATTTCATATGCAAATTGCGCTGTTTCAGTTTCAGAGTGTGAACGCATGTATAATTTTTTAGGTCAAAATTGAGCATCAAAAACTTTATCCACCATWAATCTAAAGCTTGTCAATTGTCTAACAGCTAACCTGGTGTAATGAGATAATGGCATTTTCAGTGCTTTCTCTYTCCATGTGGTGGACGGTTTTGCTCGTAGTTTGCCGGGTCGTCGTCGGTACGATAGCAATTGAGGGCATAGAATTGACTGAATTCAGCTCTAAATCACCGTGCTTTCTAAGCAAGGGAGTCAGCGARGACCCTTCTCTCTTTGAGGCCATTTTTAACTGCGGTACTCCAGCTACATGGCTAAGGATATAATTAGTGGACCCTCATCAACAAACTACTTCTCGTCCACCATTTTGAATAATTTAAACCGAGTGAGACTGGCACTAGATGTTTCTTCCCAAGGCTCTGACTTGTTCTTTTTCTATTTTTTCTCGTTTWKTASTTTTCCCCGCTGCTTTTCCAAGCGTGMTTTCTGCCTATATTAAACCTAGAAGCTCTCATTAAATACAAAGGATTTCAGTAAGCAATCTAGTTGGATTATGTTGACGCAGGACAATCGGAAACGTTCATCCGACCTGCGGTGATAAAAAAAACCCGAGACACAAGATCTAAAACTTGATTGAGCAATTGTCTCAGAAAGATTCAGTTACGCATAAAGGGAWGTTTCTCGATTTACACACTGTGTGAGATTTTATCAAAAGTGTTTTCTAGAAATCGTAACAGATATAATTCTCTCGGTCTGCGGGAGAATCTCATTTGAGCGCTTCCGTGAAATATGCAATAAACTTCACTACCACGGAGATTTACTTGAGATAATCTCCTCTTTATACTAAAACAGCCAAAACTTATCTTCTTAATTAAGTCGGAAAACAACAAAAACAATTTGGCTTGGCACAACTTCATCAATCCGGCCATARCTTCAACATAATAAAAGTGGAAAAAAATTCAATTAAAARGACGGAACAATAAGATYTGTTCCAATAGTCYTTAGCAATACTGACTTTGAGTGGATACTGACGTACACGGACGAAAACATGGTATAGTTTACGGATATAGATTCTATTGAATATATTGGCTTTGCATCTATTTCGCCGTCTTGTCGAGTGAACAAAATATCCACCAAATTGTGATTTTCATTTGAGTCTACAAGAAGAGACAAATAASCATGARRGATGCAGTCCTRGCAGTTTRAAYAACKCTACAAAATAGTCTCCAAAATRAGWTCACGGTCACAAARACTAGRACTTCTTGCYKGAGGACTATATTTACCCGTCATGCTTTGGTGGATAAAAAAGCGTCGTTRTCATTGTTTGGCAAACAAGTGTTYCTTTYCACACTRTGAAAATCACTTAAAACMGTGTAATATTACCAGAGAGAAGTTTATTCATATCAATATTGATTAGTAGAATAAAAAAAATATCAGTCATTATCGAACAATGTGGGACATACTCACAAGACGAAGAGAGAATGCGCAGTTCAGTCTTGTAATTTACACATTTCCTTCAATATAATTTTCCATATTTACAATAAATAATATTATATGATAACAGTTATTGACAGGTTTTATCACTGAAAGCGTCCTTGTTGGTTGCCAAAGCTRTGTGCAGTACCACCATTATTGAACATAAACTGAAGCTGTTGTTGTTGCTGTTGTTGGTTGTTCTGGTTTTGGAAGTTAAATGACTGTTGCTGCTGTTGCTGTTGTTGTTGCTGCTGCTGTTGCTTTTGRTGTTGTTTCTAAAACAGAAGATAAAGATGAGGTATTAATGAACGTCGCAAAAAAGGCTTCATTTCCTGATAACGGACATTTTCGGGAAGCACTCACGGCTAGTACTAATAGTGACCTTGTCGATGACCACCACCATGATTGCATAACAGCAAAACTCGCGAAGATAACGACCATTTTTGAGGACCATCAATAAATAGTCCTAAATGCGCGACTTTTTACATCACTAGTAAGCTTTCACTATCATCAAATAAAATATTTTGTTGGCTATAACAACTATTATATTGACAGACGCATACATCTCACTCTAACATCACTATATCTACTTTAAGTTCAATATCAATAACAATTATTTCCTCTTATACAATAAATGCACTAAAAAAACGCGAATGAATATGTGAATAKACCGAGAAATGAATGGATGGATCAATGGATGAACGAGTGGGAGAACAAAGGGAAGGAAAAGAAGAATGAAATCGGAAATGGATTCAAACAAGGTTGCTACGATCTATTATGAATAAAATTGTGAGTACAAGGAGAACAGCTATACATAACTTAGAAAACATGTTATTATGTAGATTCAAGGATAATCAAGTCTGTTGGTGTACGTAATTATCATACAGGAACCACATGATAGACATGCAAAGACATATCACTACACTAAAGAATCCCACAGTCACGGATTTGCCGGAAAAATATGGTTATTTAAAGATATTAAAACATGTCGTGCATGTAAGAGATACTTATGAACCTCAGAACTGCTTGAATGTTTTGAATGTTTAAACTTATTATATATTAGTCTAATACATGTACATAATGACTGATATTAAAAATTGCTAATAACTAATAACAATTAATAATAATCTGTTTTAAAATCGATTGATTTTGATTAATTGCTCAAGGTAGTAATTGTCTAGTTAATTACAAGGAAGCAATTGTCTGATTGTCATGAACATGATAAAAAGATAGGAGTCCTTTAAGTTTGAAGAGTAAAACTTTGTTGTATATTTTCCATTAATACGAAATTTCTTGTCAGCAAGTACTATTCCTAATTGCATGAATACGCTAAAAAAGAAAAACTAGCTAACAGCTATTTCTGTTGAATGATCATACTACATCTACATTCTTCAAGCTCAGACGAACTTTTCTAGAGACAGTTCCCTCCCGAGGTGGGTGACCAGCCCATGGACAGACAAACATCCCTAGGTACAATGACACTAGGATTACCTGAAATTGGTCAGGTTGAAGGGCTGACAGTCCACGCATACGTTTGGAGTTTGGCTGACCGTTGGAGTTGTCCTGCTTACATCCTTGGTTTGTCTGGGTGAAGATCCCAAAGCAATTTAAAGTTATGGCGAACTTTCCCCCATTCAACTTTCTCTACTACGAGRGTGGTTGGTGYACAGTGTTTCAGCGGCAACACTATTAAATTATCAACAGGGACCTTGGGAATACTAAGCCCCACATTATCTAATGTTTTCCTAATTCAATAATGACTGTGTAGACAATGRACTAATCTAATGGAGGCCTATTGTCTTATTTTATTTTAGTGCAAAGTTAGTTTAATTACGACTTCATATTATCTGGCATGCAACATTTTGTTATTAGTAGTTACTTAATCTACTGATCATGCATGGATGTACATTAGTTGAGAACACATGGCGAAGGTAGTTTACTGGTCTTTAGTGAATAAAACGACATGTTAATTTAATGCCTGAAGTACATATGTATTACAAGCATTGATTATCTAATAATATTCACACAGTTGTACCAAGCACAGAATCAGAAGAACTACATAAATGAAAATCAAACACAGAGAAATATTTGGTGTATTTCTCTTTGCAATGTATTTCAAAACCAATTCAATCATATATTCACAAAATGGAGGRAACAATCCAAAGTTGCYGCAATTGAATAGCAKTAGATTGTGAGTYGCCATTCCATATACCCCTCCTACTGCTGAAGAACGCTGGGATCGAAATTTTCCTCCAACAAAAGGTTGAGGAACGGCTGTACACAGCTTAGGCTAGAAATTACAAAAACTGCAATCTACTTACTTTGGATGCACTTGATTTACTGTCATTATCATCATCATTAAGGAACTCTCTCTTGGGATATGGTATTGGACCTCCTAGAAAACAACTAATAAAACATAATCAATGTAATAAAGTAGTAATAACAACAATGATGATAATMGCAATTACAATTATATTAATAATACAATAATGATTATAATAATGATACATGTAATGATAAGATGATGATGATGATAGTGATAAATGCCTTGTACACTAGACTTACTCTTGTGTCGGTAGAGGTTCTTCTTTAAAGTAAGGATCTTGTAATGCTTGTTCTGATGTTATTCTTTTATTTGGGTCCATCACTAGTAACTTTGATAACTACAGGGGAGATAAGGAAATGATATTATTATATTCACTAGACAATTCATTGGAGATATTTATTCAATAATATATCTGCTTATTTTATTTACCAATTGAAATGCTTTACTATCTTGCTTCACTTTATGCTTTTCCATGTACTTCCAAAGGCTTGCAGTAGCATAACTACACAAATACATCAATAAATAGAGCGGATTTCGTATGAGTGGGACACCATTATCGCACGGTTACCGCACAGTTACCGGACCTGGCCTGCACAATTTTGGTGAAACAATGGGGCACTAGAATTTGGTTACAGTACGATAACAGTCACAGTACAGTACCGTCCGTTTCCCACTCATACGAAATACGCTCTATAACATAGTTGTAATTCTATTCATTCAAATCGTTGTATCTTATTAAAATCTRTCTGTCTGCTTACTTTGATTTTCTGAAGTCTTTGAGGAGTGTTCCGTGTTCAGGCATCTTTCTTATATCTTCCCAATCCTTTTCTGTGAAAAAAAAGGAAATTATCTTATATGTCAAACCTTTCAAAGAACATTTTGTTTGTAGAATATGTCTTTTGACCAGCTTTGAACATTTGTCTGTTTTGCTTATTCACTCATGTATGTGTCTGTCTGCCTTTCAATCGCCATCTTTTCGTCTTCTCATTAATCTGTCTGTCCGTCCATCTACCTGTCTGTGCTTTGGGTATAAACAATATACATAAAATACCTTGTGGATATCCCATGACACTAAATATTCTATCCAACTGGTCGTGATGATATGGGTTACTGGTTTTAATGTCCTCTTGTCGACAATGGAAAATAGGTTCACATGTAAGGAGTTCAGCAAAAATACATCCAATGGCCCATATATCTGCAGAATATACCAGAAAATAAATCATTCACTAACTTTATGATTGACATATGTCAATCAAAGTACTCACCTATAGCCTTTGTGTAATGTCTAGCACCTAATAGAAGTTCTGGAGCTCTGTACCAGAATGTAACYACCACAGGATCAAGATCAGCTAACGGTTTTAGAGGTGAGTTGAACAGTCGTGCAAACCCCATGTCAGCTGAAGGAAAAAGAACAGAAAATGAAGATCATGCAATATTAATGTTTTTTAATGTTTGTTTAGCTTTGCAGAACTAATAAACCTTTGATAATGATGATAGTGATGATGATGATGTTGACAATGATAATGATGATGATAATAATAATGATGATGATGATGATGATGATGAAAATGATGACTAATTACAATAATCTTACCAATCTTTACTCTGCCTCTCTCTGCTCCTTCTCCCATTACAAGAATATTTGCTGGTTTCTGATCAAATCACAAAAAAAATAATGGTTGAATTCCGGTAATGCCAATTCACTTGTACCATGTGACTAGACACGCCCAACCTATGATTTGTCTCAACTATTCGAAATTCAATAAAAAGAGGCAGGGATAATGCACACACTTCAACTCAAGTGTGGCAAGTCACATCTAGTAAACAGCCTTAAGAAACAACAAAACTCCAGGCCTAAAAACTATGTCCTAATTTTGACGTGACTGTTGCTGTTTTAAAATGAGCCAAGCTTTAGATATGATACTTACTAGATCTCTGTGTAAAACCCAGTTAGCATGTAGATAATGTATTCCATCAAGGATTTGATAAAGAAGAGTTTTGAATATACTCTTAGGTACAGGGACAGTCTTTTTCTGTGCCTTGGATGCTCTATGGAACTTGATTATATGCTAAAAATAATAATGATAAATAATTATGACGAACATGATAATACTGGCGGTCCATGTAGGGTTCTCTCTTCTAGATAATGTCATGTGCGTTGAAAGAACTTGCAAACATTTTTAGTCCTAATATATATCCATTCTAAATAGAGTTTGTATAAATTGTCTGTTCAAGGGTGATAATATAATATTTTGCTTACCCATAAATCATGCTCAGCAAAATCAAATAACAGCCAGACTTTTCTGTCAGCGTGTGATAAAAACACTCTTTGCAGTGATATCACATTAGGATGTTTCAACTCTCTCAGAAGCTGTAAAAGAACGAAAACAACATCAAATAAAAGTGGTGATTGGATACATTCAAGAAAAAAATAAAGTGTTACCGCGATTTCTCTACAAGCTGACATCGATATTCCGGTGCCTTCAATCTGCTTAAGAGCATATTCCCTGCCATTGCCGTTCGCACTGTGGAACAATAACATTCGACATGAACGATTCAACATCTGACACTAGAGCGCGAATTACAAGCCTGACCTGTCCTTGTGCTTCGCTTTGTAAACATGTCCATACGTTCCTCGACCGACTTTACAGCCATCAAATTCAAATATATCTTCTACGCGTTCTCTTAGTTCATTTAGTTTAAGTTTAAATTCATAATCCATCGTTTTCTACACTAAAGAAGCAAGAAACAAAATCAATCAAGAAGCGGCCATTTTGGTTAGTTTCATTGCGCATGTACACTTTATTAACGCTGACCATAAAGTATAAATTGGGCGTGGCCACTCAAAAGACACGCAAATCCTATAACTACTTTTTTTTAAAAGACTACTTTCCAAAGAAGATCACACGCACATTACAAATTACAATGGCACACTTGCTGAGAAGGAATGTGTTCTGTGAGTTGATTAAACACATTATCATAACAGTAAGCACACGGCAATCATTTTTGGGAAGTGATGGATGCTGATATTTTTATCAATGGAGCACCAATCGATCACATGTCCCATGTCCCTCAAATGTATGAATATGATACTGGGTAGTAATGGCTATCTAAAATCTTTTATCTAAATATCATTAGATTCATATAAAAAGCTTGTTTGTTTATTATATTTACTTACATTAAGTTATTCTTTTCTACTCTGACAAGTTAATACTAATATAGGACATATTTCTACATTCTACAGTACAAAATTTTAGTCTTCGTCACTGCTCCATGTATCTTTGTATGGGTCAATACTACCCTTAGCTTTCCCATCATTCTTAGCATCAGACACCTCATCATCTGGTTCTCGTTCTTCCATATAAGGAAGCCAAGGTAGAAGTTGGCTGTCATTAGCACCACTAAAAAGCACTTGCAAATCCTGTTGGTAGTTACAACAATTTACATTACTATAATGTCCTCCAAGASTCTTWATCTTGCTGCCAGATTGAATGTCATAAACCTCAATGTTACTTGAGCTGGGAACAAATGCAAGGTCAGTAGCATGATCAACCGTTGTAGCAAACTGAACAGACTTCTGYGAATTATTAGGTATAATACCAAAGTTCACCAARGTATTTTTACCGCTGTACGTATCCCATAATCGTAAYCGYTTATCAGTYCCATAAGAAAGTAAAAACAACCCATCACCAGTAAAATGGAGGCCATTYATATGTCCATTATGTGAAGTTTTGACGTTCATTCGCCCAGAACCWCCCTTACCYTTGTGTTGGTCTAGYGTYAAGAGACTTCCTGTTGCTTTCCGTATGTCCCAAAATAGAATCTTGTTGTCACGGCTACCAGAGGCTAYCATATAATGATTCCTRGGCGACCATGCTAAGGAWAGAACAGCCCCTGTGTGCCCTCTTAGTATGTGACTAGAAGARCCTGAGACCAGGTCACACAYGTAAACTCTACTATCTTCACATGCTGCAGCKACTAAACAATGTTTCTTGGTTTGRCTTCCTATCTGATGATGATACAAYATGCCTTCAAAGTGAAAATTCTCAACAACTTGRGAAGCATTTGTGTCCCAAACTTTAAGAGTTTTGTCCGCAGAACTTGTCAAGAACATCCCAGTATCTTGTGGATACCARTGAATCGTCTCAATGCTYTGTTGGTGGTTTCCTTTGYCATTCTTGTCAATAGRAGTAACGCTTTCGCACTTYAARTTRTTAGCGTAATACGCCGTTGCAGCATCGTGAATAAATATCTTAGAGTTCGAYCTACATGATAATAAATATCTACCATCTACTGGGTCAATGTCTATAGAGTTTATGCCACTGGTATGTGATTGTTCAAAGTCTCCTTTTTGACTCAAACATATCGATTCAGATCTTCTTGTCTTTTCAATTCTTTGTAAATAAGTTGGAGGATGAAGACCTATTTCTCTCGACTGTATACACTGTAGCATCTTTTAGCAGTTTGCTGTCTTCAATAATACATCTGGAGTAAGYAGTATTTGACTACTTCCGCAAATAAAATGTTGATTCAACACTTTTCATTTAGATAAGGTCAGCGGTACATTGAAAAGTCAAAAACAAAGATAGGGGAGGGGAGGTATGAAACAAAGCAAATTGCCAGCAATACATGTACAATTGAATGCATTAAAACTATTGTTTTCATGACATTTCTACAAAATGTTATAATCAAATATTCATCTGCAAAAAAAATCAAATCTTTTACCATTTACTTATGATTTTTTATTTGAATTTATTTTAATGACCCCCACCCCTGCCCGGTACACTTATTTAGTCGTTTCCAGTGCCTCTCAAAAACATGTTGTGCAATATGGCGGACGATGGAAGCTGATTTGTTTTTTGATTCTTTATGGGTGAATTTTACTTGTGTCTTTAATTTATTGTACATATTTATTTGCATTCAATAATTCAGAAAGAAAATGCCTATCGTCTGTAAAAACTGCGAAGGAAAAGCGATCCTGAAAAGACCAAAAACGGTAAAACAAAATCTTRATTTTCTTCTCGATAAGTTTTTAATATTTTCCGACTAAATGCTTCACCTTAAGCACCGTATTGATTCGTAAATCTAATACAGAGGTTTCTATTTGTTTGCATCTTCAGGGAGATGCATTGTGCAAGGAATGTTTTTACTTAAAATTTGAAACAGAAGTCCACGAGACTATCACCAGGAACGAGTTGTTTACTAAAGGWGATACAGTGGCCATTGGTGCTTCCGGTGGCAAAGGTGACATTACTATATTAAAATAATTTTGCCCTTAGATATTTTCTTGTTTATTACCATGATTATTTTTCAAATTGCCATATATGCCCCATATAATTTCCCATCCACTTCCCATCCATCCACATTCTTTTTTTTCACTTCCATTTTTCCTATTTTCAGATTCCACAGTTCTTGCTTATGTTCTCAAGACTTTAAATGAGAGATATAATTATGGGATACATCTTCTGTTGTTGTCAGTTGACGAGGGTATAACTGGATATAGAGATGATTCATTAGAGGTTATTAAATTATTACAAATCACATTCACAAAACCCACACTTTGATCAATCAACAACATTGCACTTTATGAGAGAAGCAAATGCACATGTCAGTTTTGTACTGATAATTTTGTCCTCACTATAGCATTTATTGTCTTGCAGACTGTAAAACGCAACCAAATACAATATGACATGCCYCTGAAAATTGTATCTTATGAGGTAAAGTCAATACACTCCTTATAGCCATGGATTTATTGCTCCATAGAATAGTGGCTCTATGGCAGAGGGAGGGGAGATTATCTGAATGGGGTGGGGGTTTTTTTACCCACCCCATACACCTCTGTCTCCCATCCCTCCTTCCCAATATAAACATTATTGAAGATGCGTTCTAATAGTGATGTTTTAAATATTTCCATTCAGGAATTATATGGCTGGAGTATGGATGCTATTGTAAAGCAAATTGGTCTTAAAAATAACTGTAAGTAACAATGATTGTAAGTATTGATATTTTACCATATAATATATAACATCCCATGCAGTTAATTCCTCTTTTTTTGTGTCTGGGGATGGGTAAGGAAAAAGTGGGACAGGAAAACCATGAGACCAATTCACAGGTTATATTATAATGGTGTTTATTATTGGTTTTTAGGTACATTCTGTGGTGTGTTTCGTAGACAAGCTTTYGACAGAGGAGCTATGCTACTAAAAGTTGATAAAATTGTCACAGGTTAGAGCTAGCACATGAAATTTCAATGACAATACATAGCAACAAGCTAGAGGAAAGAAAAGCACAGCAACAACAATAACTTTAGAAAGTAATTCACTACTGTACAATGGCAACCATTTCGCCCGTCAACAACGTCAACATCGTCACCATACATGCAAAATATATTCAAGTTAGTGACAATTGACTGTGTTTGTTGTAGGTCATAACGCTGATGACATAGCAGAAACTGTCATCATGAATAGTAAGTTTATAGTAATATTACAGAGGAAATGAAAAATTTTTTTTTTTACAAGCAGACTTTGCTTGACAGTATTGCCCATTGAATGAAAAGCTCATTTGCTCAAAACGTGCCTTAATCCTGTCCTAAAGCCTGGTGGTTTCTTCATATAAAATARCCTCTTTACAAATTATTGTTTAACTTAAGATGTTGTATTTCAGTATTAAGAGGCGATATTGCTAGATTACGGAGGTGTACAGCGATCGTAACAGTAAGTATTAAATACGCTGCATTCAACCATCAAGGTAATATGGTAAACATTGGGCATTATTTCTTTGCTAGGGAAGCGAAGGAGCTCTACCAAGATGTAAACCATTRAAATATACATATGAAAAAGAGATTGTCATGTAGGTCATAATTAATGCTAAATAAATGAGCCTTTCACTACACAGAATGTTTTGGTAGCATATTTTAAATTTGAGCCCTTCATTTGTCCATTACTAGGTATGCTTACTTCAAAAAATTGGACTATTTCTCTACAGAGTGCATTTACTCTCCAAACGCTTACAGGTAAGACATAAATAATTATTAATAATATCATAATAATTGTAATCTTTTATCAATTCTATCAAATATGACAATGAGATTGTTTGATTTTGTCTACAGGGGRCATGCAAGGACTTATCTCAAAGACCTTGAAAAAATACGTCCAAGTACAATTATAGGTGAATTCACTAGTCTCTCTTTTCCACTCTTCACACAACTCTTGGGCTTCCTGTCTTCCTCATGACCGAGGAAGACTGTGACTCATTCATTTCTTGATGAGATTTTCCACAGGGATTCCAAATGGGCAAAATGAAGATGTGCATTAAAGCATCAGTCCTTCATACATTCTAGATTACTAATTTTCTATTTTGTTTCAACAAGATATCATCCATTCTGGGGAAAGTTTATCAGTTAAAAAAGATGTCAAGATGCCTGTTCAAGGTACGAATGATTTAAAGTTTTATTCTTAACCACATAAGCATGTAATCACCAAATTTATAGCAGGGCCACCTTAAATAATATTACATCCAGCCACTTTAACTCGAAGCCTTTCATATGGTTTAGGGACTTGCAGTCGATGTGGTTATATTTCAAGTCAACATTTATGCAAAGCATGCGTCTTGCTGGAGGGGTTAAATAAAGGATTGCCAAGGTAACAGTTTAAAAATATCTTAAACGTTGTCACTGCTAGGCATTTAACCGATGCAGTACTAGATTAGGGTCTGGTTATGGTTGGAGGTTAGATAAGGGTCTCATAAGAATCTCATTTAGGTTAACGGTATTTCTGTCTTAGGCTTGGCATCGGTAAAACAGACAAAGTCCAGGTAAATTAATGATTCCATTCTCTTCTCCTAATTCCCTTCCATTTGTTTCATCCATTTATTCTCATTTTCTAGAGACAAGCAAAGAGCAGTTGTGGTGGTAGTGGTTGTGGTGATGGGGGCTGCAGCGGAAAATCAAAGGAATCATTGGATTTCTAAAATTCTATTGTGACAAAAAAACACAAAGAAACTGAATAAACTGTATATTTTCAATGTATTTTTATTTAGTGTATTTACTGACAAGATTCTTTGTTGTTTTTTCGTTGATTTTGAGAGTTACTGGCGTACGCTGTCGCTTTTCTCACTCTATGTATAACGCCTGCTTTACATCAATGGAATCATTAAACACAGCAATACTTTCGTAATTTGATGGCAATGAGACTGTCGGACTCTCATACGTTTCTACTGTAGAATGAGCCGCTTCTTTTAAAAACATTTTACGATACCAACGTGCTTGTAATACGACTCGTGTTCAAACGCGCAAGTTTCTTAAGTTTTTATGGGTTTTCTCCTTCAATGACGTTAACTTTCTGCGCTTTGTAAACTCTCCTTTGATTAACTTTACCTTCCTCATCTTCGTTCGTAATGATGCGTCCATACTTCGCTTATCCTTCGTTAACGTTCGTTTGCTCTTCGTTAACTTCCCGTAAATGATTCGTTTATTCGTTATCTCTTCGTTAATGATGCGTCCATACTTCGCTTATCCTCCGTTGACGTTAACGTTCGTTTGTTCTTCGTTAACTTCCCGTAAATGATTCGTTTATTCTTCGTTATCTCTTCGTTAATGCTGCGGTCCATACTTCGTTCATCTTTCGTTGACGTTGACGTTCATTTGTCCTTCATTAACTTTCCATAAATGGTTCCTTTATTATTCGTCAAGAAAGCGAAAGACGGCACTATGT